AGCAACTCTATAAAAACTGCTTATTATGAACGTATTTGATGCTGGTAAGGGTAATTTATCCACAATGATATCACTTATGCAAGAATGGTATCTTTCAAATAGGGATTATGGGGATTACAGATCAGTTAACGATTGGCAAATAGCTAGAAAAAGTAATTTCTTCACCGTGCGACACGTTTTAAACGTATCTCAGCCTGTTCAGTACTTAACAACGCCAAGTAACTGCTATTATACGATTTACTGTTCTAAATAATGATAGCGCTAAAAGTTGCACAACGTAAGTTGGGTTTTTCATTCAGTCTTTTAAACTAACCTTTGGAAGGCGAACGTGACGTCACGGTTGCTATCAGAATAGCGGTTAAAACGCACCCGGTCAAAGTCTTCATGGCAGTTTGAGAGGAAACTAACCACATCACTCTACTTAAGGAAAAAAACAACAATAGCAATTAGAAAAGTTCAAACCAAAACTTGAGCGTCAGAATATATTCCTCACCGCTGACTGCGATAAATTGCGGTGGTTAGAAACAGTTAGAATCTAAGAGGAACAATGACTATGATTGCCGTCTGTATGCGAGGGTTAAGGGGTGATTATGGAGAATCTTTAATCCTCGGAAGAATAAGGAAAGCTACCTTGAATTGGGAAATCGAAGATGGTATAAAATATTTCAGTAAACGCGGCAATCTGTAAATTAACAGGAATTGAAGGAAAAATTGCTGTTCATTACAGCAAATTAACGAGAAAGAAATGAATTAATTTGAAATGAGCGAAAATAACGCGGCCTCACTGAGAAACATTATTTGTTAAGAAAACAGGAAAAGTTATAACTTAACACATGGGGAGAAAAATTTGCAACGGATAGAGTGTTAGTAGAATTAGATAGGTGAAGAAGTAATGCACTTTCAACGTTCTTCGTATGCTTTATCGAAAGTAAAGTACGCGACGTAAGAGATATGTAACCGTAAAAAAAGTTGGAACTGTATGAAGAAATTGGGGAGAAGAAAGTGCAATCAAGGTCGTGGAAATGTGCGAGCTATTTAATTAGTGATGCGGATATTAAAGCTGGCTAATTAAAAACTTTTTTCTCAATTTTCACGTTTATTTCTCTTAATAAGGTAACTTGCGACAAAATTTATGATCCTTCCAAAAAGTTTAGGGTTACTCGTGTGGAGTCACTTAATTTTCGCGATTTTGACAGCAGTAACGTATTTTCTGTTGAAGTTTTGTCTCTGGAAATGACACCCGCCACTCGGCGAGCGGGAACGAAAACTCGTCATGAAGATAATGAAAAGCGACCTCGCGAAAATTATCGAGCAATTTAGTATCAGTGCCGCGGATATTAAAACTAATTTTATTGAAACGTAAATTTAAGGAATTTACGTACATTTCCTTGCGATAAGGAAGCTGTTGAAAAATGATTGTCGATTCAAAAATTTCGCAGTTATCGTCATAAAAAAATTACTTTTTTGTACAATTTATACATCGAAAAACACCACTCGGCTAACTGGAACAGAAACTTTTCACGTGATCGATATCAGACCTCCCCCATCCCCTTCTTGGGATGGGGGAGGCACTCCTCAATATTCTTGCGGAGTGTGCCGCCCGTTTCTCCAATCCCGACCCAATTTCAGACCAAAAGACCCCTGCCATCTCCAATACCCTTTTCAAGACCAGACTTCTACATTCTATTTCTTTTCTCAGACGTGCCGGCGTCTAGAAACTGGTAAAATCCGTTAACAATGTCAGCTTGATTTATATGATTTGTTACTTTTCGATTCCTTCTCCAAGATTAGGTAGATTCCTCTCGAGTCGAAGAGGCAAATAGGGGCATACGCTCTCGTGCTTCCATTCGGAAAACCAAACCCGGTCGACGAAAATAAGTTAAGTTGGATTTTTGATTGTTTTCGGATCAAAAAAATATACTTTTTTATCCGTCGAAAAGCATGGATGCTGTTTGCAAAAAGTTATAAAAGTAAATAGTGATTACTGGCAGAAGACAGTTTTCTTTGAATTGTTTACATTGGTCAAGTCCTTTATTTTGGGTGACTTCTCTTCGGGGAATTCAAATATCTTTACATATGTTCTCCTTTGTTTCACATTATCGCTTTACCTTTAGAGTGTACAATGTGAACAAAGCAACGGGAACGAAAGGCGCTTTAATTAAATGAATGAATTCAAACCAGCACTTGGAAGTTCCCAAACGAGAAGAGAAGAGTTATATCAAAAATTTCAACCTGATATTAGAAAGAGCGAGCTTGAATCAAGATTAAACATCTTAGGAACTTGAAAATGGAATGTATAATCGAACAAGTGAATCGAATCATGTCCGAGAATAGGGTGTTGTGTTTAAATGAATGTCAGCAGGGGAAATAACCTCATCAACAGGAAAAATTTTAATTATTCTAGGAATACATGTTCAGCTCCAATTATGAGTGTAACTAAGGCGATGAACAGGCGTACAAACTACGAAGACAGTTACGCCCCACTGAGACCTTCTAATAACTATCAACCGTCAAAGGCCCAAGAATTCAATCTTCAACCTGCAAAAGCCCAAAACTGAACCTTCAACCGTCAAATTCAGAAAAAAAATAATCAGTCAACCCTCAAAGCTACCCCCCATTGCCAGCCTGATTTATCTATACTTCATCCTTTTCAATTCAGGTAAGGGTACTCATCAAAAAATTCCCTTCTTACTCATCAAGGATCGCGTTTGAATCCCCTGGCATCACCATTATATTGGTCTCTGGTGATTCTCCAGGTAGAGAGGGATTCCCTTTTTTATGTGCCTGTCTCACCAAATAATAATGCATCGATGAACCTGTGCACTTGCAAATGGTCGGCAACGCCTTTAGTATCTAGTTTTAGCTGCTCTCAAGTTATTGATTTAAATCATAAACAGTACTTTTGCTGTGATGAATAATTGTTCAGAAAGTATGTACAAGTATTTGTACTCAGTGGAAAAATCTTTACTTCAAATTATACCGCAACATTCTCTATGCGGCGTTGGAGGCGAAATACATAGTATCATTAAAAGAACTGTTTTTTTTAGTACGCACGATCCCCTTCTCTAAAATTGTATATCATGCTTATGCTAAGTAAGTAAGGACCTACCTTATTGCCTTCATTACGAGAATACGGGAACAAGCTTTAGCTGGTAACTTCCTCCACTCAATAAACTTTGATGAGACGTTGGCGACAGCTTTGTACTCACTTTACTGATGCTTGAGAACAGTTTGACTTAAAATATACTTCAACGGTGAATAGCTGATCTTCTTGTAAAACACACGGGAGACAAAACAATAACAAATGTGTTTATCCGCCCAACTGAGCACAATGGGTTTTAAACTTTTGTTATCAGAACTAATGATTAAATCTTCAGCTCAAAGATCTGTCACGGTCGCTAAACAATATCACTAGATGATAAGAAGAGTACGTTAAAAGATATTTCTAGAACATACCACGATGATGTCCCAGAAGGCCACAGAGGATTTCATCTTTTAATAATTTTTTTGTGACTCGCGGGCAATAATGATGAGTCTAACAAGTCTCGTGCGAGGGGAGGAGCGCGAAGAAATGTCTAGAAAAGGTTTATATTTAGCTCGCTCTTTCTGATTGGTGAAAAACCTATCGTTCATTGTACCCGTAAACATATTGCTACTTTGTCATGAAATCAATTTACCGCTCTTTAAATCCGTTTACTTAAAAAAATAATAACCCACTTGGAATGTTGGGAGAACAAAAGAAAATTTGTGCTTACTCGCATAAAACAAGCTTTATCAATGTTAGATATTGATCTTGCTATTGAATTTCCTGCTTACTGAGTCATATGATTCTAGACGAAGTGAAGCACTGGAAATTCAAAACATTAGGTCGCCTCCGCAGCTCTGCTGTAATTTGAAGTAGCTAGTGGAAATTAATAACTAGGAAAAAGCCGACAGATTCCTTTCCCATGGGTTGTTGCTTGTCTTTTCTATACTTCTGAACGTTCTTACGTTTCAAAAGTATTCCAATTACTTTGAATTAATCAGTAGACAATAGAAACCTTCCACTCTTGGGACAAGTTCATCCAGCAAACAGGGGAACCTTCACGGTCACCCTAATGGGAATGGCAGCCCGGGGTGACCACTTACTACAGATTGACTGCTAAATACAGGTTCCACCGAACAGGAGTCAAACACCATAAAAATTCCTTTTTATGCCATAATTAATCACTAAATCTTAACAGTTTATTATAGTACTTAATCAAAAATGCTTTGACCCTTATAAGCAGAATAGACAAAATGGTAGCGCAGTGCATTAAAGAAAACATTAAGGAGCTAACAGTCAGACCATTGGGAAATTATAAAGCAAAGGACTTGTGTGAAGCTCGTGCGCAACATCTGTCCTAACAGTCCTAAGAAAGATAATTTGAAATCAGCGTTGGGTTTTTTGGTTACCGGTTTACTTCCACGAATGAAGTCGTTGACTTTGCTAAACGCAAGAGAAAGTTCCTGGTGAAAAATTTCACGTGTAATGAGTAAAGGATATTTGAACTGATTTCGGAAGCCTGAAACATGGATTTTATTTTACTTTAGAGATTATTCTTAATTCTATTCAAGTGGTTCCGCTTTAATTGAGCATTCAATGCATGTGGAGGACAATACAAACAGGCCGTTGGAACTCAGTCAAGGGTGACAACGACCGCTTAAGAAAAGTGAAAATTGACGGTGACTGTTAATACGGTGCCGCTCAGGTTTGATTGAATTAAGTAGACGTGACTGGTAAGAAAAACTTGAAAAAATCAAAGACAAAAAAGCTGCTGCAGATTCTTGTGGGGGCCCAAGGACTGTGTACAATCTTTTGTAATTATGTCTACTCATTGTGAATGAATATATTAACTATGGTTTAAAAACGTCCTCCCTCCCAGGACGCAGAAGGAAGGAGTGGTTGCGTAGAGAGAGATGGTCAGCGGATCTTCCTATCACAGACTCCATAAGACCATTTACATGACGTAAATACGATCGCCATTTTGCTCTAGCGGTGTAACACTGTAGTTTTAGTCGAAGAACTTCTTGGTGATACTGAAGGAGCCTTTTTTCTGTGAGAAAGGATGGTTCTTAAAGCACTGACACGTAAAAGCGTAACAATTAGTGTTATCCTGTTCGGAGGAGTTTTTGGTGGAGCTCTTGGCCTTTATATTCGAGATAATTGGGATATTGAAGCCAGGGTAAGTCTGAGATGAATTTTGCTCATTTGGTGTAGGGTAAGATAGATGCTTAACTTAGGTTTATAAATGGATGGAAATTAAGATTTATTATTGTTAGAATAAATTCTCAGTTTCTTTGAAGTTTTTTTCTGTTCCTTTGAGGGCTTCTATTGATTTCCCAGGTAATTGTCTCAAGAGTTTGTTTTCATTTGTAAACATGATGTTAGTATTTTATTGTAAATCGAAGTTCTTTTATCTACATGAAAACTGTGGTATTGTTTACATAAGCAACTCAAGGCCATCCCTTAACCCTTTACATCCTAACATCAGTATGCATATTCTCCATACTGTTCTCTATACATTTCCTGAGGTGCTTACAAGGAGAATTTATTTAATTAATAATCAGGAGCTTCTTTAGCTGGTGGTCATTTCCTTTATTCTGGTGATTCAGGGGTGATATTGAAAGGAGAAATTAGATGCTAGTCACTCTTAGGGTCAAAGGCTTAAAGTGGTTCAAAGGTGCATATGATAACTTTCCCTCCCTTTGAAAGGACAGAAGAGAAGTACTTTGGCTATCACATTTCACGCTATTGATTTGAGCAGGAAAAAGTCATATGTATTGGTGTGCTAGTATATCTAGAAGTACTGACACAACTTTTTTGCTATTCTCATTTTGGACCTTAATATCTTCCCGGTCATTACATGTAAAAAAAACCTTTCAAAACCATCTTGCATGTTTTGAGACTCAGCACAGTAGGCTGTGTTCAGTCCATTGTTCAAACATGTGCCCTAATTTCCCCACTGTTTTACCTGTGCTCACCAATATTAAGCATTACTCAGAAAAAAGGCAGTAGATTACCAGCACTGGTACTGGTGACAAGAGGTTACAAATCTGGAGCCAAATTAGGATCAGTATGATTTCCTTTCTTGAAACTTGTTTTCTTCATGTATGCAAGGCCAATGGACATGTGAGTTGATTCATAAACAAAGCAGTACACTGATAACACTCTGGTTAATAGGCCGTTTCTGAGTTCTCTCAGTTCAGTGATCTGGCGGTGCCAAAATTATGGTGCAAGAATGAGGCCAAGTGCAAAGTCAGTGGCTCTAATCAGGGTAAAGAATAAAGAGACTTGGTAGTGTAAATGAGCAAAACTTTGTCAAAATTCAGTGTGGAAAAGTGAAAAATTATTTGTGGGGGAAAAGCATTCAGCTAAGCGATGGTGGCAAGGAAAAAAAAAGCAGAACTATACAATATATGCAATTGTTGCCAATTCAACTGTCAAAAAATGCTCTTTTAATCTAGAGCCTACTTGTTCCCTGTTTGAAGTGAAAAATATTGCATTTTTCAACTCAAGAAAATAGGATATGACAGGGAACTTGTGAAGTATTGTCTGCAATTTAATAAAAAAAAAACTTGATGTCTTGGGTTCCTACTTGGCCCTAAAAAATTGCTCTGAACAGGGAAATATTGTTGAGTTCAAGCTACATGTAGTGTTGAAGAGAAAATTTTTGTTGATGCACCTGTTATCTTTGGATTATTTCTGTCATCATCAAGGTTTGTTTACAAGTGATCTGACAAACATTTTTTGTCCCATGCAACTACTAATGTGGCAAGGTGAAATCAACTTGTGTTGGCATAACATTTTCTTGCGGTTGCTGTGGTCTTTCTGTGATAAAATTCATTTGAAAACTTGAATGGCATCTAAGTGAGAATGTGGATGATGAAACAATTGTCTCGTATGAATTGTATTTTAATGAGTGGTTGTACCAACCCGTAATAACTGTAAAAGAGTTGTAACCAGTATTGGTAGATTTAAAATTGTCACTTACACAGTTAATTGTCACTTGCACAGTTAACATTTACACAAGCAGTACTGTAACCTGCACCTACCTATTACCCACAGCAACAGCCGTTTACTGATAATTGAGCTGATTACCTGGTGGTAAACAGCCAGAAATTAGGGTATTAATTAATTATTAATTATTTGCTGATCAATATGAAAGACAAGGACAAACCTACAAGTGATAAAAAACAAGTGACTAAGGTTGTTGAGAAAAACATACTCCAAGTATTAGTTCCTATACATTAAGGAACCTGGCTGAGGGAATTTTCATCATTTTCAGCAACTTTGTGCATTACTACACAGTGCTGAATCTTCAGAAAGCCTTACTGCTCAAATCCTAAATTTCAAAATGCTTTATTTTCAATTCCATCACCTCATAGTGTAATGAATTTGATTGACCTGTATTATATGTGCAGAGAAAAATGATTTTGGTAAAGACCTATATTCCTTGTTTGTAGTCATTTGCACTCAGCTTGGAATACAGGTAAATAATTAAATGTTTTTCAGTTTCCTCTGAAGATTTGAGTTATCAGGATTGGACTGTATTTTAATGTAATTTATATTTTTCTGATTGTACATGATTGTTCATGAAACTTTACAACAATTGATTTAAAGGTTTCCTCTTAATTGCACTGGTATATTTATTGGTTGTTTACACCACACAAAATGGTCACAGGGATTGTATGGCTTGGCTTTTATAGCCTTTCAAGGGTGTCTGATCTACTCTTTACACCCTAACATCAGTATGCAAGGTATCTATACTGTTCTCTACACATTTCCTTTGTACAATCAAGAGCTTCTTGAGTTTGCAACCATTCTTTTATTCTCATGACCTTATTTAATGATTGATTCAGGGTGATACTGTCAGGAGAAATTAGATGCTTATCAACCTTTACGGTTTAAAGGGTTAACACATGTTTTGTTATCATTTGAATTCTAGGAGGCCCGTGTTGCTGAGCTTGAACAACTAGTGAAAGAAAAAGAAGCCATTGTGAAGAGACTGAAAGAGAGTATAGGTGAAAGGAAATAACCAGGAGCAAGTCAAGGAATGAAACTGTCTAATATTGAAACAGTGCAGAAAATGAAGTGCATTGATGCAAATTTACACTCTGTTTGTTCTTGACTTAGGGTCAAGTTGTAAAGAAATGCTTTGGAATATGAAGTTTGTATCACTTAAAGTAAATGAGGCTGGCAACTTTAAATCTACAGCTGTAATTAGAAATTCTTTGGTTCTTGACTTTGTTATTTGACTCAAGGGGTACTTGATACAAGACTGTAAGGAAATAATTATTTTCTGCATTTATTTCTTTTAGTGCTATGAGCTCTTTTAAGCCAATTAAATTTTGATGAAACATGCAAGTAAATTGATTAATCAGTTGCAAACTTCTACCCATTGACACAATTTACAAAAGTGTTCTTTTAGTATTTGGTAATGGTAGTAATGTTGGACTCTGAATTGAAAGGGTTGGGCTTTAGGTAAGGCAAGGTCATTTTATTTTGTTCTGGGGCAAGGAAATTACCTCTAGCAGTTCCTCTCTCCAACCAGGGGCCTTTTTCTTTAAAGTCCTCTTAACTTAATTGTCCCAAGGACATATTTTTAAAATCAAAATTTCAAGAATAGAGAGGCAGGCTCTGGCACCCTAACCACTCTATTTTATTACCTGAACTGATAGTTTTATTGTATAACTTTTAAAACATCCATCTTGAATTAAAATAGAGCAGCTTTACAGGCCCTATAAACTTACTGGGAATAATGAAGATTAATAAATCAGAAAAACGGTATAGTTTTACCTCAACTGGACAAGGACAGCATCAAAGTCAGTCCAGGGGGAATAGCAATATTGCTGGTCATGGCTTGATGCTTCAGAAATGGAGGGCAAGCAGTGGTTGTAACCCGGGAGGGAAGGTTGGTTGGAGGAAGAGAAAATTTTTGATTTGAAAACTTTCTAATAATTACCATTTGTTATCCCTTTGTGTTTTTGTATCTAAGAATTTATGTTTCGATATTTTCTGAGGATCACTCTTGAGTACGTGTACGTCCCTGTCCACATTCGATTCACCGCCATTTACACATTAAATTTAGTACAACAAAGATGAACAATTATCAAGAAGAGTACCATGATTTATTAGTGGGAAACAGGTCAATGGATTTGCACAACACTGATAAATCCCAATAATTTTCAATAGCTTATTTCAGTAGTTGAATTATCATGCGACCATCGAGTATATTTTTCATCTTTCCTTCGGGATTCACTCTCCAGCTGCTTAGGGAGGTAATATGCCATTTTCCACTGACAAGGATAGACAACTACACACATGAAGAATATAATTCACAGTAAAACACAGGCATTATTACGTCTGAAGAGACCATTATGTGTATACATCTAGCGCTACTTGAATGGCTTAGTTTTCTCTGTGATTACGGGCAATGAAACGATAAATTGACTGATAATAACATTATCGTAAAATTTTACGGGAACTAATCACCCCTTCAAATATTACGTTTAGTTAACCTTTGATCACAGCTGAAACTATCTTAATATGACCGAGGTAATTACTTTTCCCTCAAAATCGTCTTAGGAGGTATCGCCTCAACACAATTGTTACTCTGTTGTAAACTAGTCCCTAAACGACTTGATGACGTCATTCGCCGTTGAAACACAGTGTCCAATCACAGATTACTTTCCGGCGCCCCCGCGTAAACATTTGGAAGCCTCGACTGCATTCTGGGAGCACTCATGCCGTCTCGCGCTCGTGCTCCGTCCTTCGCGTCCATGTTCCTTCGATTATCTATGTTATTAATCGTTTTGTTCTCTAGTCCGTGATCTGAGAATGGCCTTCGGTAAGCATGAGTCGTCGCCACTGGTAAGTCCATCTGCTCTTTTACGCTCGCCATAGACTAGAAAATGAAGTAATATGCAATTTTGGGTATACGTCAAGGAAATTTCGAAGTGCAAAGGAGGTCTCACATAGTGAAAATTTTCCATCGGTTAATAGACTGACAGACTTACGAAAAAACACCAAAAGCGTATGCAAAACCCCAATTGTTTGACTAAGACATAGAGCTACTTTTAAAAGAAAATGTTCGAGTTAGGGAAAGAAAGTAATGATTTGGGATATGTGGTTTACCCGGTTTAATAAACCAATTTTACGTGAAAAGTTAACGTTATTACATCGCTAAATTCAACAATACTTGATCTAGGTGTCACAACGCGTTAAGACAGTGACTGCTGTATTTAAAATGTTGAACGATTTCGTCAAGTCAGATTTTCGATTTTTGGCCGGCTCCTAAAGGGTGTTTATAGTGCCAGGGCATGGCTAGAAAGTATTGCTCGACCAGTGCCGATTGAGGATTTCTTTTTTTTTAAGAGCGCTTTTTGTGTTTGGGCTTCAGCGTGTGTTTGGTCCGGTGAGACGTTAGAGAATTCAACCTGACAATGACGCCGTCATTAACCGGTGCACCCACCGTGCTCTTGTTGACCTCCCGCCTCAGGTTGTTACACCTCCTCTCGACCATTAGGAACATAACGGACACCACGATCCCTCCTGCCAGGACAATGAACACGCCCGCCATATGATCCAATGAGATACTCATGGGTGTGCTGCTTGCTTTAACTGTGGAGTCTGTGCACTCACTGCGACGGTCCCACCACTTCTTTTTGAGTTTGTCGACCACACCTTCCTCGCGGAGCTGGGGAACAACAAGCAACGACAGATCAGAACAACCAAATTTCCTGGTTTTTTTTTTTGTCTTTTTCATCCCTAGCTGGAGTGATCATCGTGCAACTTTTCTTTGCCTTTCATTCCTCTTCTTTTCTTTCTTTTCCCTTTTTTTTTTCTTGTTTTCATTGACCCATATATTGTACTTTCAAATGTGATTAACCCTTCAACTCCCATGAGTGATCAAGGCATAATTTCTCCTTACATTATCAATACAATATCAAGCAGACAAGTAATGAGAACGAAGAAAAATATTAACAAGGGGATTATTAGTTGATCCAATACCAAATGCTCCGATCTAACATAATCAGAGTTATATGGCAGACAGTAAGGAAAATTACTAATAAGATCTTGGGAGTTAAAGGATTAAAATGCAATTTCTCAGTATATAGTTTTACTACTGTAATGAAGTAAGTCGAACTCAACAGCTGGACGGTGCTATACCTTGATAAAACACCAAATTCTCACAACTAATTTGCAAGGAATAATCAGATACCAGTTATAAGGGAGAATTAAGAAGTACGTCTTGGTGGCTTAAGGATATTTGAAAACTCGTTAAGAATTACCTGAAGAATAGCGACAGAAAATTGGTTCGTCAGTTCTGAGTTCCTTTGAAGTGCAATACCATAACTTTTGGCCTCCAATAAGTTCTCCAACATCATTGTGTTACATGGTTCCCTGCTGTTGTAGTAATCCAGGTAGGGTCCGTCTGTCAGGTAGGCAAAGCCACCCTCTCTCACTTTTTGAACTCCTTCCTTTGTGGAATTGACAAATGTGGCTTCACTTTTCATTCTGTTGAACATCTTTTCATAAATCTCCACCTCGGACTGACTGAAGAATGTGTACAGAGATCCCCCGTTTAGCACACCGTAGTCAATCTCTTTCTGGTTGGCCAGGTCTGACAGAGAGTTAATACTTCTTTTTGTGTTTTTGGCTGCAAAAAATGGCCGAAAATTTTAGAATTAGGGCACGATCTTTACTGATTACTAACCGGCGTGATACATTCCCACGTTCAACATATAGTTCACGACATTTTTCAGACAAACTTCGCAGGAATTACAGTAGAAAACGCACAACATAATGCGCCAATCAATTCGAAGCTTAACTCGGCATCCCCCCTGGGCAACCCGAGTTCATGCCCAGGAATTTGAATTTTGCCTGGCTGGGGTGGGGAATGTGAACTGAAAGTATCAAGTCTTCAGTTCCAGCGGAATACAAATGTTATATCTTTGAAAATGGAGTTTTTTAAGGTAAAAAGTTCACTTTCGCGAGCGCATGGCTCAGAAGGTCCACAAGGTAAAGGTTTTAAAGCTTGGTCAATGTACAGAAAGTCATGCACAGTAATTGATTTTGCTTTTTACAAAAAATGGATGGGGCATTTGAACTTAATTCTTGCTACGTGGGAAAGGAAATTTGAACAAGCCAATCTTCCAAAGTTCAAATGCCAGAGATATTGTCCGGGGGGAGGGAGAGAGATGTTGAAGCTTCGAATGAATCAACGCAGGACCATTTGACACTTTACTGTATAGAGTGCTTTTCGATTGAGTGCCGTAAAACCAAACCAAAGTAATTACATAGGCGAATCAGAAGAAAGAGAGAAGAGCAATGAAGACTTAAAAATAAAAACAGGCAAACTGTCTAAACGCGGAAAAAACTCGGGCGACCAAGTCGTGATCGGTGTTAGTCTTGGATCTGATTATCGGAGAGATTGGTGCGAGTTTTCTAGACCAATCACAGAACGAAGTAAATCAAAACCAATACAATTCGGCCGGATCACTTTTGACAATCAATTAAAAACTTCTTAACAAGCGGAGCTAATGACCATTTACGTCCCTACTGTTAAGTTTGTGCCAACAGATGCAAAATAAACAGCTGAATCTAAGATGAGAGGATTTTCGGTTGAAATCGAGAACATTAGCTGTCGAGGGTAATGACCGATGAGTTCTGACTTGATTAGCATACGATCTTATTTCTTAGAGGAAAGAATTCACAACATAACGGTCAATTCTGGTGCACAGACCGTCATCAAAGCAGCTTCTAAATTGTTTATTACCTGTAAAGTACGCAGCCAAGTTTGCAGTGTAAGTAGATATTAGAATCAGCGTAAAAAACCAGAATGCGCCGGCCAGCATCCTCCCTGAGCCAGACCTCGGTGTATTATCAGCACCTTGCTGCAAAATAGAACCAGCGGCGAACCACAGACTGTTGAACAAATTGAGTTCGTCACCATCTCCTTCGCCAGATCTTTCCGCCATCGCTCGATATCCATTAGGACTGAGGTGATCCAAACAGAACACGAGGAACGTGATGCCTATCACCTAGTAATAAGATTAAATCAACAGGAAAATGTCTGAAACGAATCGTTATAGCTTGCAAAAAAGTTTTTTGTGTTTGAGCTTTGATTAATCTTTACTTTCGCGTTTTTTCAGTTGATAATACAAAGGTTGTATCTGGTTTACCTTTAGAAAAAGAAAAAGTCAAAAATT